TAATCTCATTTCGAATATTGTCACTTAAATTGGAAAAACTCCCTCGCGCATCTAACCCTTCGGAGCGGGCGCGCAAAAAGGAGGTGTGACACTTACAAATTGAAACGACTTGTTCCTTTCTTCTCTTTTCGTTTACCTTAAAATCCTTACTAAAAACTTTAAAGTTGTTGATTCTATAACATATGAATTTAGTTATTTTATCATTTTAAAATATAAGTGAATAAGTGTTAAAGATTTGTATTAAGCATTATATGTAAAAAAAAAAATACATTTTTTTCCTTCAATCACACTGCCGGTGGCGCCTTCGTTTTATATCATACCCAAAAGGGGGATATTCACCGGGTCTCTGCCCAACCAAAAGTGCTTAATTTACAAAGGACCAAAAAATCAATATAAACATTAGTTCTCTTACCAAACCCNATATATATATATATATATATATGAGCTTCAAATTGATTGTTACAAGCTTAAATAGAGTAAAAGAGTCGCAATAGATTGACAACTAACTAAAAACTAATAAAATTATGTTGAATTGTAATAATGAATGTCTTGAGAGGTATTCTACTACTCTGTCTTTAGTTTCTATAAACCTAGAAACTATAAAGGCAAGAATAGCCTAGGAGACACTTGTATTTGTTCCGGTTTGTCATCCTGGTCCTTACACTCCATACAGTTTCATCTAGACACTTCAACTTAATCAAAACAAGACTTTTAAACACCTCCGGAATCGCGTGACGCTCACTTGCTTGACGTGGATGCCAAATCAGCATCCACATCAGATTCTATGCCAAAATAATATTATTTAACAAAATTTTAATTTCATAAACAAAAAATAAAATAAAATAAGCAAAAAATTAAAATTAAAATTAAAATTAAAGAAAACCCCTCCTCCCTTCTTCAAACCCACTCACTCAACCTTCTTAAAAGAATAACCCACGTGTCATGGCTTCTCCACCATGAGTACCACTACTTCCTTCACTCATCTTTTAAAGAAAGTTAGCTATCCATGAAAAATACATGAGCAGAGAATTAAGTCTTTTGAATTTTGACTTATTCCTCTACCCCAATTTGAAAGGGTTGTGAAAAAAATTGAAAGCTAAAACCACCGAAAAAAATGGAGAAGTCATATAAAATGGGAAGATGACATAATGAAAGAAGAAATACACACCAAGGAAAAAATCTAATGAAAGAAGGGATGAAGAAAAAGGGGATAAGAGGGGATCTAAAGAAGAAGACGAGGAGAACAGCC